TAGTTTATTAGGCCCTTACACCAACAGATGCCAGGAACAAGTGACGAAGGATGAGCATGAGGAGGACGACGATTACTCCAGGAGGAAGAAGGACAAGGTGGGTTAGGGAAAAGACGGGTAGATTGTGAAAGAGAAGGAAAACAAGTCGGAGCTGGGTCCGGAAGGGGCAACGAGAGAGAGGAGGGAGGCTAACGGCCTGTAAACGAACACGAAAGCCAAGAACAACATGACGAGGCTACTGCGGTAGTCTTGCCAAACAACGGCCTGTTGCACAGTCTCGCCAAACAACGAGAGGCCACGAGCGCAGTCTCACTGGCCTCGGCAGAACCCCCAGTGCCAGCACCCCCAAAACTAGTACCACCAACGTCAGCACCCCCAGTCTCCCACTCTTGCACCGACGACTGCTGCTGCTGGTACAGTCTCTGCTGCTGCTACTGCAGTTTGTGCTGCTGCTCATACTGCAACTGCTGCTGCTGCTACAGTCTTGCCGAACGATGAGGGGCCACAGGCGCACATTCAATACAGAACCTCCAACGCCAGTACCTTCAGGTGCAACACCACCAGAATCAGCACCCCCAGGGCCAATACCACCCTCGTCAGCACCCCAAGGGCCAGCACCATCAACGCCAGCACCCTCAGAGCCAGCACCACCAGCGTTGGCACCCCCAGAACCAGTGCCACCAGTGTTGGCACCCCCAGAGCCAGCACCACTAGCGTCAACACCCCCAAAATCAGTACCTACTGCAGCTGCACCCCCCTCGTCAGCGCCTCCAACGTCCACAGAGACTGGCCGCTACGAAGTGAAACCTAGCGGCTGCAATAAAGGTTGCTGTGGTGACTGTGAAGATGAGGATGGTGACAAGGGGGACTGCAGAGTGATGTGCAATAGACCAGACGGGGCAAGACATGGGGGACTCGGGCTACCTGAGGGGCGGGACGTGGAGGGGGAGTGACACTGAGGAACTCAGGAGGAGGGGAGAACCTCGGTAGGGGAAGCGGACATAGTAGGAGACTAACTCGTCAAATGTGGCGTCACGAGCAGCGTACAAGAAGCGGGAAACCAATGAAGACACACTGGACTGTTCAGGCTACAAGCTTGATCGCGTGACGATCGCGGACGTGAGCAAGACAGCCCCAGCCACAGAACGTAGACGCTGGCGCAGGGAAACCAGTCCAAAGGTGGGTTGGTGAAACCTGCGGCTGCGAGGAACGCAGCCACGGGTTAAGCTGGTAGATATCATAGCAAACTGCAGAAGGGCCTCAGAAAGGATGGGGCACTGGCATGACACATGGAGGTATGGGCGATTTCCATGATCAGGCCAATGCGACGCTCAGCGATCCCATTCAGTTGCGGCGAGTCCGGCTATGAGTACGACTAGAGGATCCCCTGCGCGCGACAAAACTGCTCCACCCGACCAGAGGTTGACTCGCCACCCTGATCAGAGTGCAAGCGAAGTAGAGAACGACCTCGCTGGGTGCGGACAGCTACGATCCATGAGAAAAGCGCGTTAGGTAAGTCGGTCTTCCATTCTAGAGGGAGCGCCGTGGTGTAGCAATGAAACACGTCCACCTCAGCTAGGAAGTAGTGCTCCCCACGAGGCTCTGCAACTGGGGCAGGGCCCTAAAGGTCTATGTGCAGGCACTGAAGATGAGTAGTGGCGCAAGACAACGTGGAAGAGTGAAGGGTGGTGCGCTGCCGGCCCTCGACACAGGGAGTGCAAGGAGGCGCAGACAAGAGAGAAAGCAGCGCAATCGACTCTCGAAGACCTGTGACAGGACGATGGGAAACTATCTGACGCAGATGTGAAGATGAAGAGTGACCTAGACGGTACAGCCAGAGAAACGACGGGTGCGTGAGAGACCGACATGAGCAAGATGCGGCTACCTGACCAGACCTATACACTAGGGCAGACTCAGTGCACAATAAGAACAAACCGGACCCAGGCTCCTAATGAATGTGGCAAGAGGAGCCCCACTGGTAGCGTGCGTATAGACTGCAAACCAGTCGTGCGCAGGAAAAGTAATGGTGACCCCGAAGTCCTGAAGATGACCGACACTCACCAAGTTCCTAGACAACAAAGGGAGGTGCAAAACTTAGAGGGAACCTGAGGGGACTGCCGGATACGGAAGTATAGCAGCGCTGCGTACCACAACTGGAACCGAGAAAGGATCAGCCAAGGCAACAGAGACTGGAATCAGAAGTCGAGCGAGATTGGTGCGGTCACAGAAGAAGTACTTAGATGCGCCGGAGTCCCCACCAGCTGCTTAGTTGGCATGCCAACGTCGCAGGTTGACGGCGCGCCAACGTTGCTCCCGCAGGACAGCAGCGCACCTACTTCGCAGGTGCTCGTAGATGATTGGCGTGCACTGCTTCGTCACCTGCACAGCGCACACACCACGTCAACTTTGTGCTGACGACTGCTTCTGATCCGCCACGTCGACCTCGGGATACCACCACCGAGGTCGTCCTCGCCAACGTCGCCTGGGCGACCGTCGCGTGCCTTCGCAGAACCTCGTCACCCAGGTAACCTGGTCGACCGGGCAACCACGTCAACCAGCGGCTCCTGTATGTGCCCGTCGACCTCCTAAGTCGGCGGCCACCTCTGGTCGACCTCACCAGGTCGACCACTACCCCAGGTCGACCAGCTCCAGGTCGACGTCACTCCTGGTCGACCAGCTCCTCGTCGACCAGCATGGTTGTCAGCCGACCCACAGTCGGCTACCCGAAGTCGGCGTCACCAAGTTGACGCCCTGCTACTCGACGCCCAGCTGCTCGGCGTCATTAGTCCCTCTGTCGAGGTCGACGTCGGCCCCTCCTTCGTCGACCACCATGTTCGGTCGACCACCAGGTCGACATCACGCCTGGTCGACCAGCCAGGTCGACCAGCAGCTCTGTTAGCCGACCACCCAAGTCGGCTGCCCCAAGATGGCGTCACCAGGTCGACGCCTTCTGCAGGTCGACTTCCAGGGCGACTACCCGAAGTTGGCGCCCTCCCAAAGTCGGCGCCCATGCAGTGGCTCCCCGTGCAGGTCGACCAACCTCGTCGACCAGCTCGCCCACTGCTGCAGGTCGGCTGCACCCCTACACCCGACCACGAAGTCGGCTCCGCCCAAGCGAGGACGGGGCCAACACACAGCTCCCGTTGACAGGGGTGGAGGCGGTGGAGGCGGTGGTGGAGGCGGTGGAGGCGGTGGAGGTGGCGGTGGTGGCGGTGGGAGTGGAGGCGTCGGTGGTGGCGGTGGTAGTAGCGGTGGGAGTGGTGGCGGTGGTGGTGGCAGCAGTGGGAGTGGTGGCGGCGGCAGTGGTGGCGGTCGGGGTGGAGCGGTCCAGAGGGGAGGTTCTGGCGGTGGCCAGAGGCAGCAGCAGCAGCGTCCGTGCGAGACCCTTATGCCCCAGCACCATCGTGAGTGGTTTTCTCGGTGTGGGGCGTCTGGGGGTAGTGTTCGCTGCCCGTACGTCATTCGCACAGGTGATCGGGCTGGCCAGACTTGCGGGAAGGTTGGTCACACACAGTACCGCTGCTTCTCCCGTCTTGACGACGCCTGGCGCGCAGAGTTTGGCGACGAGGCTGAGCTCCCCCGCTGGCGAGAGCTGCTTAGGACCGATGTGGATATCTTTGCTCTTGACTATGACGCTATCCTTGCTGGCATGTATGCATTGACTGATAATGCTGAGGATGACTATTACCTATGTGTGCCGCCTGACCCAGGTATAGAGGCTGCTGCTCTAGGTGCTAGTGCGTCTGCTCTCTCTAGTACTGCGCCTGCTGAGGCCTTGCACACCTTCACGCTTGACTCAGGTGCTTCTCGCTGCTTCTTTCGCGACAGTACCACAGTCACACCACTCCCTGCACCTGTTGCAGTATCTCTGGCTGACCCCTCAGGGGGGCCAGTTCATGCACGTTCCTCCACTAATCTCCCGTGTCCTGTGGTTTTGTCAGGCTCACTCTCAGGTCTTCACCTCCCCTCGTTCTCTACAAACTTGGTGAGTACCGCTGCCCTCCAGGATGCGATGGTCACTACCACCACTCCTGGGGGTCAGCGTGTGTCGATCGTACGTGTGCACGGACGGGCCGTCACCTGGCCACACTGACTACTGAGCCTACTCAGGTGGCTGCGTCTGGTCAGGTGTCCGCGTCAGGTCAGGTAGCAGCCCCCTGTTCGTGTCGCCTCCTCACGCACCAGACTCTCCTTTGGCACCACCGCCTTGGTCACCCCTCCCTGCCACGCCTTCGTGGCATGCACTCCCGCCTCCTTGTCTCGGGCCTTCCCAGGTCTCTGCCTCCCCTCCTGCCCTCGCCTGCGCCACCCTGCCTTCCTTGCGTCGAGGGGCGGCAGCGCGCCGATCCTCACTCCTCCTCGTTTCCCCCGAGGACCGCTCCCCTGCAGACTCTCCATATGGACGTGTGGGGCCCAGCCCGCGTCAATGGATAGGACCGCGAGCGATACTTTCTGCTGGTTGTTGACGACTACTCGCGTTACACCACGGTCTTCCCCTTGGTCCTTGATGTCTTGATCCCTTGGATCCGCGCTGTCCATCTTTAGCTCCGCGAGCGGTTCCGCCAGGACTTTCCTGTCCTACGTTTGCACTCTGACAGAGGTGGTGAGTTCTCCTCCCACCTCCTGCGGGACTTTTGTCATGGGGAGGGCATCCTCCAGTCGTTCACGCTTCTGGCCTCCCCGCAGCAGAATGGGATTGCTGAGCGCCGCATTGGCTTAGTCATGGAGGTGGCTCGTACCTCCATGATCCATGCGGCTGCTCCCCATTTTCTGTGGCCATTTGCGGTCCGGTACGCTGCACATCAGCTCAACCTCTGGCCCCGTGTCTCCTTGCCGGAGACCTCGCCTACACTGCGTTGGACGAGGGAGGTTGGCGATGCGTCGGTGTTCCGGGTCTGGGGCTCTCGTGCCTTTGGGCGCTGGCACTGGAGGCACTGACGTTGGAGGCACTGCAGTTGGAGGCGCTGGAGCTGGAGGCCGTGGTTCTGGAGGCGCTGACAATGGAGGCGCTGGAGTTGGAGGCGCTGGAGCTGGAGGCGCTGGAGCTGGAGGCGCTGGAGCTGGAGGCGTTGGAGCTGGAGGCGCTTGAGCTGGAGGCGCTGAAGGTACTAGAGCTAGAGGTACTGGAGCTGGAGGTACTGGAGGTACTGGAACTGGTGGTGCTGGAGGTACTGGAGCTAGAGGAGCTGCTAGTGCTGGAGGTGCTGAAGGTTTTCGCTGTACTGGAGCTGACGGTTTTGGTCCTGTGGATGCTGCGCCGCAGCGACCGTTTTTCTTACCGCAGCCTGAGTCGTCCCTGCTGCCACTTGACTCAGTGCTTCGCTAGGCTCTTAGTCTTCCGTCTTCCACTGGCCTTACTCCTCCCTTACTGTGTCCACCGCCTGACCCGTCTCAGACACAGTTATCGCCGGACTCCTCACTGCCTACTCCTTCTCCTTACACGGAGCAGTCAGACTCCCTGACAGAGCGCCGTGGGCCTGTGTCTCGTCCTGCCTCACATGTTCGCACTGTTCGCCGTGCTCCCCGTGGTCCCCGTCCTCGTCCTCCACCTGTCCCCGGCACGCACACTATGGCACTTCGTCCTTCCCACAGTGTGTTGCTCTACCGTCTCCTCCAGCGTCCTCCCTTCCTACCTGACGTTCCGGACCCTGAGTCTGACTTGGTTCGTGCTGCCAGCCCTACTGTCATACGTCTCCTAGCCATGGTTGCTACAGACCCTTCTTTTGAGTCCACTAATGCGTTTGCCTTAGTTGCTGAGCTTGTTGACTTTGCTGCTGCGTGTCGTCTAGACTACGCCGCTAGTCTTGTTGCTGAGTCTGAGTCTGTCTGTCCTCCGTCCGTTGGGGGTGCTCTTGGCACAGACGTCCTTGAGGACAGGCAGGAGGACTTTGAGTGTCTTGCAGCTGCTGTACCTCATCTCGTGGCCATGCTGCTTGCACCTGAGGGAGACCCGGATGCACTGGACATCCCGACCCCGCGCTCTTACGCAGAGGCGATTACGGGTCCCTACTCCTCTCAGTGGCAGACAGCCATGGACACAGAGATGGCATCCTGGAAGTCCATAGGCACCTACGTTGACGCAGTTCCCCCTCCTGGGGCAAACATAGTCGATGGCATGTGGATTTTCAGGGTGAAGCGGCCGCCGGGTTCTCTGCCTGTCTTCAAGGCTCGTTACGTTGCACGAGGCTTTAGCCAGCGACAGGGAGTCGACTTCTTCCAGACCTTCTCCCCTACCCCAAAGATGACCACTCTTCGGGTGTTGCTGCACGTTGCCGCTCACCGTGACTACGAGCTTCACTCTCTTGACTTCAGCACAGCTTTCTTACAGGGCAGCCTCTGGCTGCGCCATCCTCGTGGCTTCACTGGGTCGTTTCTTGAGGGTACCTAGTGGAGCCTCTAACGGCCAGTCTACGGTCTCCGCCAGGCACTTCGTGAGTGGCACGACACACTGAGGACGACACTTGCGGCTCTTGGGTTTGCTCCTTCGACTGCTGACCCGTCGTTGTTTCTGCGCACCGACACTTTGCTGCCGCCGTTCTACATCCTCGTGTACGTCGACGACTTGGTTTTTGCCACTGCTGACACTGAGGCACTCGCTCTTGTGAAGTCGGAGCTGCAGAAGAGACACACGTGCACTGACCAAGGTGAGTTGCGCAGCTACCTTGGCTTGCAGATTACCCGGGACAGAGCACAGCGCACCATCACCCTGACTCAGTCACACATGGTGCACCAGGTCCTTCAGCGCTTCGGCTTCCAGTTCTCCTCGCCACAGTCCACTCCTCTGCCTACCGGTCACTCGCTCTCAGCTCCACCTTCGGACGAGTCCGTAGAGCCGAGTGGCCCGTATCCAGAGCTTGTGGGCTGCCTCATGTACCTGATGACCTGCACTCGACCTGACTTTGCGTACCCTCTTAGCACCATGGCACGCTACGTTGCGCCCGGGAGACACCGACCAGAGCACTGGGAGGCCGCTAAGAGGGTGTTGCGCTACTTGTGCAGTACATCGGGCATGGGGCTTGTGCTTGGAGGACAGGGTCCAGTTGTCCTCACTGGACACTCAGACGCGTCTTGGGTTGACGACCTGGCTACGCAGCGGTCGTCACAGGGTTACACTTTCAGCCTTGGCTCCGGCTCTGTTTCTTGGCGGTCTACCCGCTCATCTTCTGTTCTCAGCTCTAGTTGTGAGGCTGAGATCTACGCAGGAGCCATGGCTGCACAGGAGTTACGCTGGCTCACGTACTTGCTGATCGACTTGGGAGAGTGGCCTCGTTCTCCTCCAGTTCTGTACGTTGACAACAAGGCCATGATTGCCTTGTGTCAGGAGCACAGACTGGAGCATAGAACGAAGCACATCGCTCTGCGTTATTTCCTTGCTCGAGAGTTGCAGCAGCGTGGTCAGCTTCATCTTGCTTACGTGGCCACACGGGCCAACACTGCTGATATATTCACCAAGGCACTTCAGTCTGGTGATCATCAGCGTTTCTGTATTACTTTAGGCCTTGTGCCTACTTTGTCTCACTTGCTCATTGCGTGACTTTGCTTGTAATGTGATATATATATACATATATTTATATATATATGTATATATTCGTGCATGCTTAAATTTGCTAGGCTATGATCACTGTACTGTTTGTTCTCTCTCATATAACTCCGCCTGTGAACTGGCCTTGTTGCCATTTGCTTGTGCTCGGACTGTGTGGTGACTTCGTGATCCACCTTGAGCTTGCTTTGCTTTTCTTGACTGGTCTTGTGACCACTTGTTCTCCCCCACTTTGCCTATGGGGTTGTCTAAAAACAATATAATGTTTATGTTGTGTAGGCTGTAGTGGGGTAGCCCATAAGGGGTACAACCCAATTAGGGTTGGTACTTGTACCCAGTTTGTTCTTATTGCATCCATTCCCGTTTAGTATTCTGACACTCCTTCCCTGTGACGGGTCGAGCAGAGGCACAGACGACAAGGTAAGGTGAGGCACTACACGGTAGGAATCGGTTTCCCTGCATTTCTTCTCTGTGAGGGGTGGCGCAGAGGGACTGCGGTGAAGCAAGAGGGGCAAATGACAAGGTAGGTCAGGGAAGCAAGCGAAAATACACATGTCGAGAGTCCGTCAGCTGTGGCATAGCGCGAGTCTTACTTGCTGAACTCTTGCAATACGGACTGCACTCGTCCGTCGTGTGCCACCCCAAGCGTTTCCTCCACCCTAGTAAGAGCATGCTTCGATTTAGCAGTTTTGTACACGCACCTAGCAGGAATGCGTTGCTGGTGCTGCTCATGACAGTACTTGCACCCATCTGTCAACCCACGCATTTTCTAACCCCGCACGTACACCCATCTAGCAGGAATGCGTTGCTGGTGCTGCTTATGACAGTACTTGCACCCATGTGTCGACCCACGCATTCTCATACTCGCATCTAGCAGGAATGCGTTGCTGGTGCTGCTCATGAGGTCCAGGAACGCAACGAACGTGCCTTCCAACACCAGGTGGATCGCCCCCGTCACGGCCCACCAGCAGAAGATGGACCTATCTAGAGCTGACATGTGGCGAAATGATCCTGACGACGGCGAGAGGAGGAAAGGCAAAGGGAGGAAAGATGGGGCGGGGGCGAAGGAGAAGGGATGGAGTGAGGCATAAGGATGGACGAAGTTTTGACAGTGGCCGAGACGAGAGTCATAAGGCAATGTAATCAGCCGCGTGATCCGTTGCATCATGATTTGCTTATCAGACATACGGCTATAAACCGCATTCGTATGTCTCGAATGCCATGAATAGCACGAGAGATGTCGCATCGCGATGCGCTAGCTTGTCTAACATGGTAGATCTGCGTGTTAAAACGAGGCGATGATCGAGTAACGATGGACCTGACGAGTTCGCTTGGTACGTTAAACCATGAGACGCGATCACTAATCAAGACGTTATTGAAGCAGTATTCACATCATTGCATAAAAAACCATAGCTGCATCGCGTACTGCTATCAATGACGTCACTGAGACTTACTCGTGAATAGCCACGAGATGACGATCACGAGAATGACGGCCGCTCCGAAGATGGCGAAGAGTGCTTCGACGGACCATCCTGAAGGAGAGTAAGTAGGGACGACGATGCCACGCTAATAGTACGGATGATCTGCAATGGCTGACGCCATGGCTGAAGTAGTGGTGAATGATTCCCCAAGATTACGAAACTATCACGCCTTCTGCGACGAATGGATTCAATCGCGTACCGAGGAGGAGGAAATGACTTCATTGCGTCCCTATGCCTCTCGATTTGAGGTATGTGGCTCAGATTCTGTGGATTGTTGGTGCTGAATGTGTGAGGAAATGATGAAGCGCCGTGTTTTCTAGTTTTCGATTCCAATAGGCAGTGGCTTTGACTGCGCATCGCTCCGCAATCCCGCCCAATTCTCACGGGCGGTTTTTTTCTCAAAGCAGTTTCACAAGGACAAACAAAAATAAAACCTCTAAGGAAAGGCATGCAATCAAGGGAGCATCAACCCTAAACACCTTGCATTTTGTTTAGGGTTGATGCACCCATGTTTACTCGTCTTTCTCGAGAGGCTTTATAATTTTTTTGCCCCGAAAAAAATACCTACCATGCTCATCAAGGCCAACAAACTGCCCGTGGGAATTCGGCACGATCGCGGATCGATGCGTGATCAAAACCACTGCTCATCAGAATCGAAGACAAGTAAAGACTGCGATTTGTCTTTTCCTCTGAATGTGCAGACGAGAATATTTGGTTCTTGGCGGGAATTTAGGTGGTGCAGAGCAGGTCGCAGACACTGGGATGTTCATACGGCGCGGCTCGGGAAAAAGTCCGCCCACGCCTGGGGATGTACGGGGCGCGGAGCTCTCGGGGGACGCGTGGGGCGAAGTCGGCCCTCCAGAATCCCACCAGATTTGGACCTTCCGCAGCCCTGCGTGGCTGAGTGAGGTCCCACGGTTAAAAAAAGAACACCTGTAGAGCCTACCACGGACGAGACGATACTTTCGCTACTGTTGCATTGCCCAGTTGTTCACGCTTCCGGCCTCTCAACAGCAGAATGGGACTGCTGAGTGCTGCATTGGCTTGATCATAAAGGTTTCTCACACCTCTTCCTGGTTCCAGGTCCCCCCCAGGTAGACCCTCTCCTCCCACAAAGTCTTGCTCCCTCAGGTGTGTCTCAGGTAGACCCACCCCCCTTGGTTGAGCCTTTGGAGGTCTGCTTTGACACCTCTGGCCCTGCTGAGGGGGGTGACGCTACTATTGACGACACAGCGGCCACTCGCCGTTCACTGCGCTTGGAGACCCCTCCTAGTTTCCGCCTCAGTCGTCTTCGCCACCTCTGCATCCTGTCG